GGGGGGGCGCTATGGGTGTGCACTAGACCACACACTTCGGTAGTGTCGGACCAGGACCAGTAGCCCCCACCCAAAGCATCTATTTGGAAGGGTATACATGAGGACATTTGGTACGAGTTCCCTCGCTGGGCAAGGACGGTGGCCGACGAGATGCGCAGCAGAGGACAGAATAATCAGTTTATTAGACTGGGATGAGGATGACAGTGTCATGTGGCTCGCCCCGCCCTTTCCTCGAGTCACGTGCCTCGCGTCTGATCACGCAGGCTGCGCCTTCCCATTACTCCCAGACGGGGTAGGATGGGGGCGGGTGGTGGTTTGCGGGAGGCACCACGGGTCATGTGACCGGAAGGGCTCCTGACGGACGCGGTCCCTCCTCGGCGCGGCCTGAGCGCCCGGCCCGACCCCGGCCATGGGGTGCTGCTACAGCAGCGAGAACGAGGACTCGGACCAGGTGCGGCCGCGGCAGGCGGGACTCGGGAATAAGGGCTGAGACCCTGGGGTATGGGGCCCAGAAAGAAACCTGCAGAGCAGGGGGAGCTGGACTGCAGGGCTCTAGTACGGCGACCTGGAGGGGACAGATTACTTGGGACACTGAGCCAGACTCCTACCCATGTTAAACCCCAGGGCTCTACAAGTCTCTGCATTGGGGTGTGCAGGCAGCTGCCTCTCCGGCTCGCTCCCCTCCCTTCCATCTACCCCTATTTTCAAGCCTTTGCAGCGTCTAGGAGTCCCAGCCTAGGTCCCTCGGAAGCACTCCCTTCTCATCCTCCCGTAGCTTCTCTGCTTGTATTAGCTGGCTTTTGGCGAACCCGCTATAGAGGTGAATAGGTTGAGACTCCGAGTTAGTCTGTCTCGAGATGAATCAAGAATTTGTGTACCTTCTCAGTCCCTGGGATGGGGGAAGGGAGGTCACATCTAGTCTGGGGTCACAGGAGGCCCCTGGAAGTTGGTGGCATTTGCGTTGGCCAGTGAAGGATTTCGTACATATAGACAAGGGCATCCGGGCGTGTGGGAATTAATTTGGGAAGCAACGAATCGGCTTGAGGTTTGGCTGGGGAGAGGCCAAAGAGTTTTTTGGTTTGCAGAGTTTGACCTGCCTCCCTGCAGTCCCTGCCTGGGGCCTGAGGATTTCTTTAGCTGGAGGAGTGTCTGTCCAAAGAATATGGTTGTAGATCTGACCCCCTTGGAGAAAAGATTGGTTCTGGGACCTGTGCTGTTTTAAATTCTGCCTCTTCCCCGTGTTTCATTCTCACTTTTCTCCATAGTTCAATCCCTGCCTGACTTGACGACCTTTGAGGAGGGGCAGACCTTCCTGGGGCTGAGCTGTCAAGCAGCAGCCACTTAATGCAGCCACTTAAATGTTTGATTGCCTTTACATGGGGTTCTACATCTCATCACATAATGGGCACAGAGACAACAGAAAGGCTTCATCAGGTAGTTCACAATCTAGTGGGGAAGTGGTCACAGAAATGGAATATTGTTGGTTCTGGAGGAGTATTAATAGTTCTTTCTCCAGAAAAGGTATTTGGTTGGAGTTAAGGGTTTAAGCTTGAGAAAAATGCCATTTGTGTGGGAGGCGGGTGGCTCCTGGTCCTCATTCTCCAAACCCCCAACACACAAGTACTCATATTCCTCGTGCCCTACCTTAGGCACACCTTGTGTCCAATACCTCTCACTTCACTGCAGCCTGTTACAGAAAATATCCCTGCCTCTCTGAAGAGCTTTGGCCTAGTGAGATGTCCCCTGATGACTCTTGCAGGGATTGAAACAAGAAAAGTTCATGCCTTATGGGAAAGGATACCAGCTTCAAGGTAGATGGGGGAGAGATTGCTGCACCCTTGAATCTTCACTTTTACCTCGATGGCTCTCATTTCTGTTTCTAATCCCCAGAAAGGGTGCTTGATGAGTGTGGGTGATTTGAGGCCTCATGTGCCAAAGGCCATAACCATCCACTGTCCCAGAGTCCCTCTTTTTGTTGTTGGACAGGTCCCTCTATAATAATAATAATAAATTATAACACATTGCAGCTTTCAAAGGGCATTTACAGTTATGTCACTTGATTCTTAGCAAAAACCTGTCATGTAGGTACAGGCTATATCTATTTAAAGTGAGGGAAAAGTTCAGAGGCTGAGTCAGCCAAGCTGAGAAGTGCCATAGCCAAGGTGTTTTGGTGCCAAGTCATGTGCTTTATCTACTGGGCAAGCTGTCTCTTCCAGCCATGCTCACAGACCAGGTGGCTAGGCATGGACAGGCCACTTAGGTGTCTGTGCTTGAGTAGAACTGAAACCCTGACTCTAGGATTACAATGACCTAGGGACAAACCTCAGTGTGACAGATCTACCTCACGTTCCTCAACCTTTTGGGGCCAGGGTGATGGTATTTGCCGTGGGTAGTATGGCCTTTTCTGGAGTCTTGGTCTCAGGAAAACAGACTCACTCCTGGAGTCCTTGGTGGGGGAGAAACTGCCCTGTCCTGTGGGAGCTCTGTCTGAAGTGGGATGACAGGGAGGATAGACACACGGGAAACAAACTCGAGCCTCAGTTACAAAGCCAGCTTTCATTCGAGATTCATCTTTGGCAAGCATTTTGTCTTTCTAAACCTTTAATATTGAGTCTGTGTTTTAGGAAGGAGGAGGGGAGGGTGTCGGAAGTTTAGAAGAGATTGAGGCAAAACCCACAGCTTCTGTCTCATGCTTTTGGGAACTGGATCAAACTGCCTGAATACACTTGGGCAACCCAGGCTTGAGAAGCGTAAGGAAAAAGGGTTGGCCTCCCTAGGGTGGGGCAGGCAGAGCAGGAGGAAGCAGCCCCCTAGGGAGGGTTGTAGGCAGGTGTACTGGCCCTGTTGCAAGAAAGTTCAATAGGAACAGATCGGGCTGGAGGAGAGCACTGAGGAGTCTGGTGGTCTGGCACTGAGGGTTGCGTCAGCACTGGCCAGGAGGCACTCCTGCCCTTTACTTTGTCCTGGGTACCCTAGCTCTTTATGGCTTGCATGGACACCCAGCAGGTCCACTTTTCCAATCTGCAGCTGACACAGAGCTGACAAGGATTTGCAGTTGATGGGCTCCAGGCAGAGTTCAATCTAGAAAGACTGCAGCAGATTAGAACAAGGGACCAAAACAAGGCAAGGAGAAATACATTTCTACAGGATTGGAGAGACTTTGTTTTGTCCTAGGTCAGTCCTGGGGGTTAGGATCATCACATACGCTAGCTGCTAAATATTAAGGGAGTCGCTCAGGTCATGTTAAAGGGGTGGCACTTATCAGAGGAAGTCGCTCCACTGTTCGGCTGTCAGGAGTCACTTCACATACTCAGTTTGGTTCTGGATGTCACATATAACCAGCTCCAGAGGACAGCAGGGTGGGCATTTGAGAGTAGAAGCGATCTGACTACTGGAAGGGAGCACACGTGGACTGTGTAAACCAGAGGTGGGGTTGGGACCCTTCTGGGATGATCTGACGAGAGGCTGTTGAGAGGTTGGGCCAGCTTTCCCTTGGGGCGTAGGGCCTTCACTGGACTCAGCAGGCCTCTCCATCTTGGTAGCAGGCAGCCTTGCTGATCCTGAGGGATCAGGAGGGCCATTCTTGGCCCCCTGACTTAAATTGATTTCCCCTCTAGACCCTACTGTTTTGTTTTGATATTTTTATCTGTCTTCTAGTCTCCAGGGCCCTTTCTCCATCAGCGACTGGACTGTTTTCAGAAGTTCCAGGGCTATTGATGACTTACTGCTTTGTACAGTGAATCTTTTCTGGGCCTCCAGGACTGCTCTGTTCTGCTCTAGCTCACCTTAGACCACCAACTCCGCAAAGCTCCCAGGGGCAGGCAGGAACTGAGTCCTTTTTGACATCCTGTAGAAGTTGGGCATTTTGGATATTGCTTATAAAAATAGTTCTGGTGTTCGAAGGTCAGACCTGGGCTAAGGGGAGAGTCTTGGAAGGGTAGGTTGGACTGAGAGTGTTGGGGTTGACTTTTCCTCCATGGGCTCTTCTAGAACCGAGATGAGGAGAAGCCACTGCTGCCTAACAGCCCTCCCACCAAAGCTCTCAATGGAGCTGAGCCCAACTACCACAGCCTGCCTTCTGCTCGCACAGATGAGCAGGCCCTGCTCTCCTCCATCCTTGCTAAGACAGCCAGGTGAGCACGGCGGGTCCAAGCCACGCTGGGGATAGAGGGAACTGGGTCACTGGAGAGGGGTGTCTCTGGTCCCAGCTCTGCTCCGGTGGGGAGGCGGGAACCTTGGTGTCAGATAGCCCTGGAGTTGGTACCTGGCACTCAGTCCTGCTTGTCCCTCTCCCCAAAGCAACATCATTGACGTGTCTGCTGCAGACTCGCAGGGCATGGAACAGCATGAGTACATGGACCGGGCAAGGCAGTACAGGTGAGCCAGCCTAGACCCCTTACTCTCTCTTTTCCTCCCCTCCATCCCTGTTCCAGCTTTGGAGTCTGATGCCCAGTCCAGGATCCTTATTTGGGTGTAATTCAGAAGACTGACCAGTCATTTGGGTCCCTTTAATGTTCATGTCAGCCCTGTTTGCCCTGCGGCACTCTTGGGGGCACTGAGACCAGGGAAATAGGCCTCCCTGTTACCTGCCTCTCTGGCCTGAGGGAGTGAGGCTTGCCTGGGCTGGGCCGGACACACTGACCTAATTGCCTGTCCCCACCCCCTCCTTCTTGGCCAGCACCCGCTTGGCAGGGCTGAGTAGCAAGCTGACCCACTGGAAGAAGCTGCCACCGCTGCCATCTCTCACCAGCCAGCCCCACCAAGTGCTGGCCAGCGAGCCCGTCCCCTTCTCCGACTTGCAGCAGGTGAGCCTTGCCTACCTCTGTCCGCCTTTTCCACACTGCCCAGGGTGTGGCAGAAGGGTTCACCTGCCCTGCCTCGGAGGGAGGGAGTGAAGAGAGCCTGTAGCCTGTGGGCCCCACTCACTCTCACCTCTTGTTTCTTACATCCTGTTTCTTCTAACCATTATTTGTTCCTACCCTTCGTTCTTTTCCTTCTGTCTTTCCCACTCTTTCTCTTTGTCTTATCTCCACCAATCCCCATTCCTCATCTTTCCCCTCACCTTTCTCTGCCTGTGTGTGTGCGTGCACGTGTGCTAGAGAGTGAGTGCTTGCCAGTGAGGGGAGGAGGTGGGGGTGGCGTCCTCTGTAGGGCATGGACATGCTTCAGTCTCTTCTTTTCTCCATCCTGTTGGGATTTGGGGCACACATGTATGTGCACCCAGTATGTTTCGCAAGCTTCCAGGTCCGAGACTTGGACTGCAGGGTCAACCATGTAGGGATCCAACTGCTTTAACCGCGAGGCCTTGGAGCCAGCCCTCACCTATCCCTGCTCTTCTCTCCCCAACCCCTCTCTGTTACAGGTCTCTAGGATAGCTGCCTATGCCTACAGTGCACTTTCTCAGATCCGTGTGGACGCAAAAGAGGAGCTGGTTGTACAGTTTGGGATCCCGTGAAGAGATGGGTCCGTGGAAAACTCTTCTCTTCTCTTCACCCTGTCTTCACCTTGCCTCCCCGGCCCCTAGCCTCACTGCGGCTTACACAGTACCCTAACCTGCTACTAATCACAGAAGAATGTGGAGAAGGAGGAGAAGAGCAAGGCTAGAGGCCTGAGCCAGTGAGGATGGAGCAAGGGAGGGTAGAACCATTCAGGACTGGCCTTCGCAGCCCTGGCCAGGGGTGAGGTGGAGGCCAGGAGGACAGGACCTGGTAGGTCTCCACAGTCATTGGGAAGGTGGAACTACCACTGCGGGGTGATCACCAAAGGACCTGGGGGATCCCCTTCTGACCCTTTCTCTTGGCCTCAGATTCACTCCTGTCCCTCTCCCTGACTTGGTGCTCACATGCACCTCTGTAGGGTCTGTGACCAGGGTCTGGATGAGCTTGAATTTGAATGAATTGCGTTTGTATTTCTAGCACCCTGGGTTTTTACATGTTTGGTCTTTTTTCTTTTTGTTTTGGTTTGTCACCCTCGATAAAGGAAACTTATTCATCCGTGTGCTGGTTCCAGCCCCTCTGTCTTGCCCACTCCCCTACTACTTCTAGTTACTCAAGTCTGTGAGTAGCGATGGGGGGAGCAGGTGTATTCCAGGAACATTAAAGAGAAATCTAGGACATGAGTTTGGCATGCCCAGGTCGTAGCTGAGACTCAGCCATGGCTAACCTCACATTGGATAAGGGTGTTCTTGTCCCTTGTCCAGTGATGGGAAAACTGTCAGGACTAAACAAGCTGAATATGAGGCAGCTGGACTGTTGGGGCCCTGCTTCAGGCTCAGTGGAATTACCAACAGCCCTGGGGTGGGAAGAAGCCAGGGAGGGACTGCTGAGGGACAGACCAGACCCTGCTGAAAACACCTGGTATGGAATCAGCAAGCACACGTCTTTTTATTTTCTTCCTTTTTTAGGTTTTTGTCATAGGGTCTGTACGTTTGCCAGAGACGGTGAGAGGGAAAGTAAGAAATTAGCTATGCCAGGGACCAGCAGTTAGCGTAATGGCTATGTCACTGGACTCCCACGTAGTCGACCGCGGCTCGTGTCCCGGACCTGGTGGCTTAAACTCATGCCGGGCGCGTGTGCGTGCGTGCCCAAGATCCCAAGAGGAGAATGGAGGAGAAGGGATTGCAGCGTGACCATCCCCCCTGGGGGGTGATTTCTCACTTTCTATCTCTGTCTGTCTCTGTCTGTCTGGCGAGCGCATGCGCCCTATAGCAAAAAACCTCTCCAAAAAAAAGGAAAAAAAAAAAATTAGCTATGCCACAATCTCTTTTCCAGTCTCCTGGGATTTGGGGCACACACGCACGTGTGCCTGGAGTGACTTTCAAGCCGCCAGGTCTGATGCTTGAATTGCAGTTGGCCATGTGGGAGTCCAGCTCTTTAATCACCACACCACATGGTGGCCCCAATAAGCATGCATATTAAACAAAAGATCAAATGAAATCTTATGCTGAATCCCATAGAACTGTGATGATTGAAGTGTGTGGAGTGTTCAGAGATCATAGCCCATCTACTCTGTCTGTCCTGGAGGCCCCTGAGACATCTCCACAGACCCTGGCACTCAGGAGACTGAGCCTTACTGATCTACTTCAACTCCAGGATATCTAAGCTGAAGAGTCCAGAGGAGTCCAGAGAAGCTAAATAAGTTTCCCAAGGCTGCAGTAAACCCAGGTCTCTTGCATGCCAGGCCAGCAGGCCTGCCTTCCACAACCCACCTCTTAGCGTAAGACTAGAGCCACTGACAGCTACATGATTTGGAGGGCATCTCTTTAGGTGCTCAACAGTTCAAATCATTTATTGTCGAGCCAAGCTGACCACACTGGGATCTTTAGGGCTGCTGGGGTCACAGGAACCTCAGAGGACATTGTGCTTGATCCGGACCTTCTTGGGCTTGATGTTCATGCGTTTCCAGACTTCAGCTGTGGTGCGGTCTGCTTTGGTGATCCCACTGAAGTCGAACGTGGTGACGCGGGGCAAGGTGCACAGCACATACTGCCTGTGGGGAAGACTCCAACTGGGGCCAGCCCCACCCCCAAGTTCCCCACTCTCCCACCAGTTGCTGCTATATCTCTTGACTACAAGGAGTGAAGGGATGAGTTTAGTTTGTGTTTATCCTGAGAGCAAGATATGCCCAAAGGTCTGCTTCTCCCCTTTACCCTCAGGGGAACAGCTCCAGGACGGCACATACCTATACCCCTTCTCTTCCTCTATGGGGTTCCCGTGGAGTGTCAGGCTACGGAGCCGAGGAAGGACAGCCAGCTTGTTCACCTCTGCCAGGCGCTGGATGCTGTTGCCGTGAAGATAGAGGACACTCAGGTTGAAGAACGTTGTTAGGACCTGTTGGGAAAGAAAACAAAGCCAGGCTGGACAAGACCCCAAGCCTGAGCTCAAGACTGACTCCCAGGCAGAGAGCAAGTTTGGGGACCTTGCCCTTTGTTCCTACCTCACAGCCAACCTGGATGACTAACCTACACCATTTACCTGTTAAGGGGGACTGGGGCATTGCGCTGAAACCAGGCTGAGGTTTGAGTAGCAGGGGGTACGGCCACCAGTACCGCTGCTGACTTGCTCGTGACCAAACCTTCCTACCTCTGAGCTTTGCCGCTTCCTGCCGAAGACCTTTCCTTTCCAGCTCTGGTGATCTAAGATGACTACAGCAGGGAACAGGAATACAAATTATCATGCTAGGCACATAAAAGAAGCTTGAGCTTCCAAAGTATTAGTTAAATGGGATCATTACACCAGGGGAACAGTTTCCAAGTCATGCTCAGTGCCTTTCCTCTGCTGGACAAGAAGGGGCCAAGTTTAATTAAAACCAGTATCCAAGTTCACAGAAAGCAAGTGCTTTTTACTGCCTGCCTCTTGTACTGCAGAACCCGGCACAAGATAGTGGGTGCTCAACAACAACAGCTGCTATTTTACTTCAGCTTCTGAAGTGTCAGTGGTTGTCATGTAATTTCATTGAATCCTCCTCTAAAACCTTATGATGCTGCTATGTGATCCCTGTTCTTCACCAAGGAGGCCGAGGGTTCAGGAGGTTAAGGTAGCTTGCTCAGACTCAGAGTCAGCAGAGGCAACCCCAGGATTTGAATCTGGCCCTGCAGCCCTGTGCCCTGGCCTGTACCATGCTGCTACTGCTTCCTTGACACTGCATAGGTGCAGAGAGGCAGTGCCGGACAAGATGTCTTCAGCCACCCCTGCCCACTGGACTGGACTCCTAGGGCTAGAAGCTCACAGGGTCGATGGAAGTCAGGTCGTTGAAGGACAGGTCAATCCAGGCCAGGTTCTCTGGGTGCTCCAGCAGCTGTGAAACCACTTGATTGAAGTCTCTCAGTTCGTTGAGAACATTGTTGTTCAGCCACAGGGACTGGGTCAGTGGCTTCCCTGACTTTGAGTGCTTCAGTGGTCGTAGCCCTGTCCTTGGCTCCTCACTTAGCAGATCTATGGGATGAAGTGGAATTTGGATATATCATCTTTATTTTTTGGCTGTAGGGAGTGGGGATAGAACTATTAATAGATTACTAGCCCATGCTGTAGCTGGAGGGGCTGGCAGGGCTTGAATCTAGTGTGACCCTATCCCACAGGTGCCAGCAATCTGAGTAAGCTTGAACTGTGGCCAGCAGATGGCTTACCTTTTATGTCGTTGGACTCCCACATGGCTGACTACGGTTCAAGTCCTGGACCCAGTGGCTTGAAAAACACTGGGCACATATGTGTGTGTGCCCCAGATCCCAGAAGGAGAATGAAGAAGGGATATGGCATGGCCATCCCCTCTAGGGAGTGATTTCTCACTTTCCCTTTCACTGTCTCTTCCTCTGGTAAGCACACACACTCGAAGGCAAAAACCTCTTAAAAAAAAAAAAAAAAAAAGAATAAGCTTGGACTAAAGGCCAAAGAGATCACATCACACTTGGCATCCCAGGTCCCATGGTCTCATTACTTGTATCACTGGGTCCTCTGTCTACCACTCCGTGGTCTTCTCATATCTGTCAAATCATTGGGTCCTCTGTATAACACCCCGTGGTCCTCGTGTCTGTCCTATCATGGGGTCCTTTATATATCACCCCTTTTTATAGATGAAGAAACCAAACCAGAATTCTTGAATTTGAGCCCAGAGGATGATAGGACAAATCTACAGTTAGCCACTTGTAGAGCCTATAAAGTGCATTGTGCTGGAACATATGCTGATGTTCTCCCTCTCTTCCAGTAATGTTGAGAATCTAAAATGTGTCAGGTACTGGATACACAATGGTGAACAAAAGAGGGCTCTTCCAGACGCTATGAGTTACAGACAGGGATGAAGCAGATGTTGGTGCCTTGGAGGAGCTTGTGTGGGCAAGATGGAAACACTGCTTGGGCAACTAGTGGCGTGGTTAACACCTCTGAGTCCCACATGGCTAACAGCACAGTTTGAGTCCTTGAAAAACATGCTAGGCACGTGTGCGTGCGTGCCCAAAAAGGAGGGAGAAATGGAGATGGAATTGTGGTGTGAACACCTCCCCAGAGGGTGCTTTCTCATTCTCTCTCTGGCAGGCACATGCCCTATAGCAAAAGTTAAAACAGAACACAGCAAGGGCATGTCTATATGTGCCTATGAGTATACATGCATACACTGCAGGGGATGAGGAGGAAAAAGGAGACAGGACTCCAGGCATAAATGTTTTGAATCCCAGGCTGAGAATCTTGGGCTTTATCCTATGGGTGATGGAAAGCCACTGGAGTGTTTAAAGCAAAGGAGATGATTCACTTCAGAAAGGTCACTGAAATTTGTGTGTGTGATGTGGAATTTAGGTGACTGATGAAACCAAAACACCAATTTAGCTATTTTAGTTATCCAAGCAAGAGGTGAGAGGAACGTCTAGTCAGCCTGCCTTGGGTGACTAGATGAAAAGGTAGAATATTCAGAGGTGGTGCCCAGGTTTTTATTTGGCTGACATAGGCAGGTGCTGGTTCTATTTGTTGAGAAGGAATTACAAAAGGAGAAACATGGGTGGGAAGGTGATGAGTTCGGCTTGACCTTGGTGTGTTTGAGGCTCTGTAGTACAAAAAGGTGGAGAAGCAAAGTAGGCGTGTGGATGTGAAGGACAGAAGCTCAGGAGACAGAAACTGATTAGCATACACGTCAGGGAAATAGTGGGATGTCTGGAAAACTCAGGACATGTTTTTCTGTGCAAAAATATGTCATGACTTTTCTGACGACCCAGTAAATGAGATTCCTCGGGGAGACAGGAGGGTCAGGAGGAAGGGGAGCCATTAAGGAATACTCAGACAAGGTGAGCCAGGAGAGAACTAAAGATGTTGAGGGAGGGTGGGCCTTGCCCAAGCTCACAGGAAGAGACACAAGGTCCGGCTGAAGTGACTTGCTTTTTCCCATCGCCCCAAGCCTTTGACCTAAAATTGTCTCTGGGGAAGGACGTATTCAGTATTCGCTGAACCTAGCCAGCTTGTCTTCATTCCCTCTTTTACCTCTACATTAACTTCTCTCCTGGAGGTCACGAAGCAGCCACCAGATGGCTCTCTATCTTAGTCCTGGAGTGAGCAAGATCCATTGTTGGGGCCCCAGGGAGAAGGCGGATAGGCATGGGGAGAGTACTTCAGTTTAGGAATAAATTAATCCTGCCTCCCTCCCCACACCTCTGGAAAACCCTGAAATGAAATGATACCAATGAATGCATGCTTTTTTCCTAGAGGTATGGTCTCACTTGCCCAGGCTGGCTTTGAACTCTGGAGTTCTAGTGACCCATGTGCCTCGACCTCCTGAGCAGGTGAGATTACAGGGACGTGCCACCACACCTGGCAAGATTAATAAAATTTAAGGTCTAAAGTAACCCTTTGTGGGGCCATTTAGGTGGTGTGGTGGTGAAGGCAGTTTCACTTGTGCTGAATTTGACAGCTTGAAGAGCACTCTGGGTACATGTGCTTGTGTGCCCAAATTCCATGAGAATGAAGGAATAGAGATTGTGGCATGGGAAGTGGTCCCCGCCGCCCCCCCCCCGGGGAGGGGGTGTCACTTTCCCTTTCTCTTTCTGTCTCTCAGGCCAACACAGGTGCCCTATAGCAAATTAAAACAATAACACCTGAACTAGCACCCAGTCTGATAAGGCACAGCTCTGATCCCAAGCACTGAGGGAACCACTAGAAGAACAGAGTTGAGGCTGTCTAAAGCTGCCAGTATCAAGGATGGAGTGGGATGTCCAGGCTGCTATAGTCCCCAGATTCCAACACAGCACTACATGGCCTGAGGACCTGTTAAAGCTTCTTTGTTCAGAGTGGCCCAGGCAGGTCTAGAAACTGGACCATGAATATCAATGCCCAGAGAACATGGAGGCATGTAGCTCCTGGAAGATCAAGGAAAGCCATCTTCTTATCTCTGAGGGCTGCCCTGAAACTTTTCCCATGTGTCCCTAGAGGACTGAAGTCTGTTTGACAGGAATTTCATCATGTCCTCCCTGAACACCATCATGGAAGGAGTTAACGCTAGAAGTTTGTGAACAGAAGTTAGAGGATCAGGAGTTGGAGGTAGTACAGATTAGATGCCTTCTAGAGTCACTGCTATTTCAGATTCCGTGACCCACCTGTTGATGAGCTCAGTGAATAGTGTGCAAGTACCCCCACACTCGGGACCAGCAGTTGGCATAAGGGCTATGTCGCTGGATTCCCATGTAGTCGATTGCGGTTCAAGTCCTGGACTCTGTAGCTTAAACTCATGCCAGGCACATGTGCATGCGTGCCCAAGATCGCAAGAGGAGAATGGAGGAGAAGGGATTGCGGTGTGGCCATCTTCCCTGGGGGGTTGTGTGACTCACTTTGTGTCTCTGTCTCTTTCTGTCTGGTGAGCGCATGCACCCTATAGCAAAAACCTCTCAAAAATAAATAAATAAAAGTACTCCCAAACTCTACCTTGTCCTCCAACCACAGCTATCAGTGTTTCAGAAGCTCTGGGAACATGAAGGGACTCTGGGGGACTTTGATGTGCCCCCATAAACTTAACAAGGAGTGCAATGCCTGACAAATAGCTATATAGATATGTATACACACACACATATATATACACATATATATGCCTGGCAAATAGGTATATAGACATGTACACACACACACACACACATATATGTATATATATGTGTATAATATATAGATATACACACATACACACATATGTACACTAGTGCTCAGTAAATAGTGAACTGTTGCACAAAGGACAGGGCATCTCTGCAGACTGTTTTGTGCTGCAGAGTTAACCTCAATAGCAGCAACTTGTCTCCCCATTCTGAGGACTCTGGGGGCAGAGCTACATCTCCTCCCTCAGAGTTGGAAATCCTCTCCTACCTCTGTCACTTCAGCTATCTGTACACAGCTGTTATAGCAGCTAGCACTGTTGTGAGACATGGACTACATCAATAGATACAACATAGTGCTTGATGGACAGATCTGGTAGGTGGCTGTGTGCTCATGAGAGAAGACACGTGAGTTTCAGTTGTAGTGCCCTAAACCCAAGCCAAAGCTAGTACCATTCACCAACTCCCCGAGCTTAAGTGTTTGCCAGTTGCCTGAGAGAGCAGACTAAAGCCAGATAATGGGTCTAGGACTGGAGATGAAGCCATGTTCTATGAGAAGAGATGTACTGAGGCTTTTATGAAAGATCAGAGAGCAGAAGCCAAGGATGGTAGAACTTCCCTGGGAAGAACGGATGACTCATTGAGATTATGACATTGCTGGGAGCTTACCTATGTCTCCTCCTGAAGGGTCCCAGCTGCCCATTTACAAAGATGCTGAGTGATAAAACGTGAGCATGTGGGCAGTGTTAGAGCCTGCAGTTAAGTGTCGGTGATGATGATGGAATAAACTTGGATATGGCTGGGATAACTGTAAGAAATTCGTTGATAAAAATTTAAACTGGAAACATGCTAGTTAGTAATAAGGACCTGTCATGTTTCATCAGTGATCAGAGCAAGATCATGTCTCCTGACAGAAAACACAGGGCTCTGCTTACTTGCTAAACTCTGCAGCTATGTTTTGTTTTCAGTTTCCTCCTCTATAAGGGTAAAAAGGAGAATAAAAATATTGGCTGATACTTTCTTCCACCTATCTTTCCTGCTGTAGCCTGGCTTCTTTAGAAGATGATAAACTACCCTGAGAGCACCCTGGTTCCTTTCAGATTTGCTGCTTCAAAACAAAATAAAATACACCTCCTACTGCCCCATCCCTAACCACAACAGCAACAGATCTGCCAGCATCTTTAGATTTTTAAGTGGCCTCGGTTCTCCCTAGGGACACTAGGCTGCTGCTGTGTGAGTGGAGTGCTGTGCCCTGTGAGCTGACCTTGGATGACGTGGATGCTTCTGAAGGAGTAGTCGAGAGGGGGCTCCTGCACGGAAGTGTTCACAGACTCCCGTTTGCTCATAGTTCAGGCCATCATTCATCAGGTGCAAGCAGGGGCCTGGGGACTGTGGGTTCAGCCTGGGAGGACAGAGAAAGCAAACGTTCCAGGTACAAAGGGCACTGGCCCTCAGGTTTCCCCATAGCCCTCCACCGCTGCTTTCTACCCTGCACACTTGAGGCCTGCCTTCCTGCCTCTTCACTTTAAGATAGTAATCACTATTCCTTGCACTGTACAGCATTTCCTACTTCTCAGAGCACCTTCACATCTCAGAACTCATTTGATAGTTATGAACACCCATTTCTATTTTCCAGATGAAGAAACTGAGACCCAAGGGATAAAAAGGACTTGCCCAGAGTTAAGCCAGTGAGTCAGTTGTGGCTGGCGGTCATAGTCTCCTGAATCCTACTCGAGACCCTTTCTGCTACTCCACAGTTGTTACCCTGGAGACTGCCTTGGTACCTATACACTGGTGACATCAACTGGGCCGCTCTATTGCTTAACAAACCCCTGAGGCCCTGTACTGGATTCACTTGGTGTCTGACAGCCCTTTGCAGTCTGACCCGCCTAGGGATTTGCTACTTCCCTTCTTAGCTTGTCAGCCCCATTACTTTTCCACCCAAAGCATCTGTTTTCAGCCACATCCTGAATGTAGTTTCACAGATAGAAGCACACGTGCATAGAAGACAACAGCCTACTTCTCACTCACCTGTCACTGAGGCCTGAAACTCCACCATTAGGGATTCATTCCTTTGGGTTCAGGGATTGTTCCCTGTTGAAATGGAAATACCCCCTGAGAGGGGTGAACACAAATGTTATCAGTCATTTGCAATGTTCTGAATTGTCTTATCGGATCCTTTCCAATTTGTTAGCTAAAGCACAACAGAGGGAGTTTTTTTGGGGGGGATATTTCAGGGAGGGCCAGGAGAATACTACTCACCTGGGATAGAGCTGAAAGCATACTTTACCAAGGGGGTTTTGTATGTGAGCCATACAAAGACAAATAGACTGGTAAGGACAGGGACATGTCCCAATCAACCTCCCCTTTCTCACTCCATCCACTGTCAACTCCTTTACATGAATACTTCACTTGCTTTCCTAAAAGATTTAAAGTTAATAACAACACACTCGGGACCAGCATTTGGCTTAATGGCTGTGTCGCTGGACTCCCATGTAGTTGACCGCAGTTTGAGTGCCAGACCCACTGACTTAAACTCATGGGCATGTGTGCGTGCATGCCCAAGACCCCGAGAGGAGAACGGAGGAGAAGGGATTGTGGCATAGCCATCCCCCCTACGGGTTCATTTCTTGCTTTCTGTCTCTGTCTTTCTGGTGAGCGAACGTATCCTATAGCAAAAAGTTCTCAAAAAAAAAATTTTTTTTTAATAACACACTCAAAACAGGATTTGTAAAAATGTAAATTACAAATACAAGCCACATAAATCACTTTTTCCAAATATTCAATTTAAAATCTCATAGCTATAATAAAAATAAAGTGAAACAGGTGAATTTAATAATATATTTTATTCAACCCGATATATCCAAAGATATTCAGCACATGCTCAATATATTTTTTTTTTTGGAGAGATTTTCACTGTAGGGCGCGTGCACTCGCCAGACAGACAGAGAGAGACATTGCCAGACAGACAGAGAGAGACATAGAGACAGAAAGCAAGAAATCACCCCCCAGGGGGGATGGTCACGCCGCAATCCCTTCTCCTCCATTCTCCTCTCGGGATCTTGGGCACGCACGCACACGTGCCCGGCATGAGTTTTAAGCCACCGGGTCTGGGACACGAACCGCGGTCGACTACGTGGGAGTCCAGCGACATAGCCATTACACTAACTGCTGGTTCCCAGCACATGCTCAATATTTAGAATTACTGAGATCTTTTGCACTTCCACTGTGCCCTGACTTGTCGAGAGCTCAGCCACCTGTGCTACTTACAACTACACTGTTTGGTGCAGATGTAGAAAATTTAAGAAGCTAGATAAAAGAAAGAGTGAGAGGTATACCAGGGTCTTTAAGGAATCTAAGCCTGGGGAGCCAGCAGATGACTTAGTGGTCACATCGCTGGACTCTCACATGCCAGCCATGGTTTGAATCCTGAACCTGATGGTTTGAAACTCACTCTGGGCTTCTGTGTGTGAATGCCCAAGATCCTGGGAGGAGAATGGAAGGGAAGGGATTGTGATGTGGTCATCCCCCCAGAGGGTTATTTCTCATTTTCCTTCTGTCTCTCTCTGGCAAGTATGCGTGCCCTAAGGCTAAAACCTCTCCAAAAAAAAAAAATAAATAAATAAGTAAAAAGACTCTCAGCCTATATAGAACTCTGAAATTCCTGGCAGCCAAAGTAAAGGGGGAACCTATGGATATACCATTTTCATCATTGAGTTCAAAGAGGAAATTAGTTTGTATACAGAGACAATGAAATTGGCAACTATTTTTTTTTTTTTAACAATGGTCTTTTTCTTTGAACGTTATTTTAATTTGACGAGAGAGGGACAAAGTGAGAGAGAAAGAGAGAGAGAGAAAGTGAGAAAGCAAGCCACCAGGTCTGGGACTCAAACTGTGGTCAGCCATGTGGGAGTCCAGCACCTTTAACCACCATGCCACCTGTCAGCCCTGGCAAATATTCTTAAAATGGAACAGAATTACTATTAAAAAAAAAAAAAAAAGGACCTGTTAGCTTATAATTCAGACTAAGTTTAATAAATTTAAAGGAAACATTTTTTCTTTGTGTGTGATTTAATTTTTGCAAGGATAGGTTTAGAAGAATGGAATGTGGATGTCTTGCTCTCAAAAAGCAGCAGTTTCAGGTCAGCAGGTGGTGGGGTGGTTAAGGTGCTGGAGTCTCACATGGTTGACCGCAGTTCAAGTCCCAGACCTAGAGACTTGAAACTCATACTGGGTGTGTGTGTATGCCCAAAATTCCAAGAGAATGGAGGAGAAGAGATTGAGACATGGCCGTCCCACTGGGGGGTGGTTTCCTACTTTCACGCTCACTCTGTCTCTCCAGCAAGTGCACAAGCCCTATAGCAACAATCTCTCTTTTAAAAAAAAATCAGAGGTTACTAGGAACTGTACCAAGTTTCTCTGGTGATAAGGAGACTAACAGTAAAAAATATGCCCTTACTATTTTTAAGGCTAAAATCCATGTTCAGTGTGCAGAACTCTAGGGACCCAAGTGACTCTCCAGGAGTCACTTAGAGAACAGTATTGAAATGAAGCCAAGTTCTTCTATTTCTACAAAACACAAACTAGGTTCCTTTGCTTCTACAATAGAATAATTTGTTGTCTCCCTATAGTTTTGACATCTAAAAGATTTACGTTTCTCTAATCACCCCATGCCCTTGGGGACGATCTAACACTTGACAGAGAATTCAGGGGTGATATGACTCAAGCTGTCCCTTCCCCAAAGATGCTATTTTTTTCCTTTATTTTTTTTGCTATAGGGCACATGCACTTGTCAGAGAGAGACAGTGAGAGGGCGAGTGAGAAATCATCCTCCAGGGCGGATGGCCATGCTGCAGTCCCTTCACTTCCATTCTCCTCCTGGGATTTTGGGCATGCATGCATACGCACCCAGCGTAATTTTCAAGCTCCAGGTCTGGGACTCGAATCGCAGTCAGCCATGTGAAGAGTCCAGCACCTTAACCACCGCACCATCTGGTGGACCCCATAACTTCTGAGTTGTTTGTGTAACTAGCTCCTCATGCATTTTCTGAATGAGTTATTTAAAAAAGAACCTGGTGGGGCCATCTAGGTGGCATGGTGGTTAAGGTAACTGGATCCCACATGGCTACTCTGCAGTTTGATTCCTAGACCTGGGTACTCGAAAAACACTTGGGGACGATTTGCACACATGTCCAAAATTCTGAGAAGAAGGGATTGTAGCATGGCCTCTTACATGGTGACTCACCCCTCACCCCCGCCCTCCCCCAAACACATATACCCTATAGCAAAACTGAAAAAGGATAAAGAAAAGAAGCTGGGTAAATTTAAGGATAGGAAAGGATTATTAGCCTTCTTCATTTAAACACTGCTCAGGCTACGAGTATTGTGTTTTAGTCATCATCTAACACAAAACCTGGTTTACAATAGGCACTGGGAAAATGTTTGTGAGATGAATGAATGCAAAACTGCTAAATACAAGGATTTCTGTTTTGGGGGAGTTGATGCTAAACTGTTCTAACAATTGGTTCCCAGGTTCAGCCGTTTCAGTCCACACCTCATTCACAGTGAGACATTCAATTCAATTCTGCAAACATCTGTTGAGTGCCTGCTGCCTGTGCCTGACTAGAAGGAATGAAGCCAACAGACAAAGAATAGAACCCTGTCATGAGCACAGAAAGACCTACTGGGTCTCTATTGATTGTGGCGAGCAGGCCTGCATCCAGTTCCAAGTAACAGCTGCCCACTTAGTGACTACTCCCTCGTGTTTCAGCACTAGGCTCTAGTGTACTCCCTTCTCTGAAGCTTTTCTTTTCCAGATAAAATCGACCAACTTGTCCTGTGTTGGATCAATTGCTTTGATGATCCCTATTCAGTCTCCTCTGGATCCATCCCTTTTTGCCCTATAACTTTGTACCATCTCTCTACAAAGGATGATGCTGGGGTTGGTCATGTCACTTGTTTTGGCCAGGGAGGTGCTGATAGACATGAACAAAAGAGAAGCTTTAAAAGGAGTTCTCCCTTGGGGCTGACAGGTGGTGTGGTGGTTAAAAGTGCTGAACTCCCACATGGCTGATCATGGTTTGAGTCCTGGACCTGGCAGCTTGCTTTCTTGCTTTCTTTCTTTCTCTCTCTCTCTCTGTGGTCAAATAAATTAAATAAAGCTAAATTTTTAAAAATTATTTTTAAAAAAGTAGTTTTCCAGAAGAGCCATCCAGATGACCTACAGACTTAGAAATAATAATGTTTATTGTTTTAAGCCACTGTGCTTTTGGATGGTTACAGAGCAAAAATAACTGATATATAGCCCTTACTGTTCTTCAAACAAAACTTTATGACAGCCTATTTTCTCATCTGGGAAACGGGCCCAAATCCTTCCTGTATGTCCTGCAGCAGGGGCTCAGCAAATGGAAGCAGCTGTATTTTCTGTGCTCATTTCTTTATTTTTTCTTCAGATTTTTGCCATAGGGCATGTGCACAAAGACAGAAGGTGAGAAACCATCCCCCCTGGGTGGCGGGAGTTGGGGGAAGATGGCCATGCCTCAATCCCTTCTCCTCCAGTCTCCTCTCAAGATTTTGGGCATGCACTCACACATGCCTGGTGTGTTTTTTCAAGCTGCTGGGTCAGGGACTTAAACCACACAGGCAGCCAAGTATGATCATGCACCTTCACTATCACACCACCTGGTTGGCCTCTGTACTCACTTCTTTACAACTTACTTTCTATTCACTCCCTGTAAACTTCAGGTCAGGACAAGAATCGGATTTCTTTGCGTTCCCACTATTACCCTGCAGTAAGTCTGATAATGACTAAGTAGACACTAAAGGCCTGACTGACAAATGAATGAAAAGGAAAATGGAAGAAGAAATGAAGGAATAAATGGTGTCTTCAGGCTGTCACATAGCAGGCCTCATTGCTGGGAAAACTGCCAAATAGCCTAACTGCTGCCTTGCTCCTGTGGCTGTATTTTTGCACTCAGTCTTTCCCAGCTGGTATTCTGGCTTATGAACCAGGAGTCAGTCAGATCCCACCCAACACCTTCATCTGTCCAGTCTGACTGGTTGATGACAGGGCTAAGGACATACCTGTCTTGTTCTAGAATTGGAATATTTCCATT